TTTACATTGTGTTCGGAGCATGGGGCTGCCATTCATTCAGTAACCAGGGGATATTAGGCAAAAGCAAATGGCAACGAATAAATGGATAGACAGCTCCTCGTTTCTACTTTCAGAAATGAAATGTCAGCAAGGCACACACTGCGCCAGTGATCATGATGCTGCCTTCCTAGCCTACAAGTTAAGTCACCAGTCACCCCCAGCCCCCTCCAGCTCACTGGACAACACTAGATTCTGCAGCTGCCTGGAGGAAGGCACTGGCTCAGTAAGAGATCTCCTTTAGGAATGCTGCCAGCAATCCTCCCTTGGCCAACTCCCTCACTGTCTGCTGCTCCCACGTTCTGAGGACGCATCTGTGAACTGTATGGAAGTCCGGGATAGTGGGCAGTGGGGAAAAGGACATTATGTGCGGTACTGGGGAGCAGCCCTGATGACCTAGTGGTTATGAGTTGGGCCGCAAGCTTACAGTGACCAGACGTCCCTATTTTTAACAATTTTTCCTGTGTCCCCTACTACCCACCACACAGAGAAAGGCAGCATTTTTAAAAAGTCCCAATTTTTGGAAAGAATGCACAACAAGCTAGAGTATACGATTTTCGGCTGTCATGTGGCTATTTCGCCAGAATATGAGTTTTATCAATGGTGTCCCGCTTTTGTCCCAATTTACCAATGTTAAAATCTGGTCACCTTACGCAAGCTGCAAGGTCAGCAGTTCAAAACCACTGGTCACTTTATGGGGAAAAGATTGGGCACTCTACTTCAGGAAAAAGTTACACTCTCAAAAACCCATAGGGGCAGTTCTTCCCTGTGCTAGAGGGTTGCTATGAGTTGGCACTGACTCGATGGCAGTGAGTTTCAACTCGTAGTTTGGTTGTCCTGTAGGACTACCCACCACACAGAGAAAGGCTACTTGGAGGAGACAAAACAGCTTGGTCAAGACCCCGTTGAGTGGTGTTTAACGAAAGATCATAGCAGACATTACATGGAGTCAACCCAACAAGTTGTAAGCAAACGTTCATTTGTAGTTCTTGTTAGATCGTGTGTGTGGCGGAGGTGGGGATGAGTATTTTTCTAGCCCTGACATGGCAAGTACTTTGTTGCCCTTCTCCTTCTTTCCTGCATTAGTTTCTAGCTCTACCTAACCGATGACCACAAACAACATGTCTTCAAACACCACACACTTATTAGCACGCAGTTTCTGTGGGTCATGAGGCTAGCTTAGCTGGGTCCTCTTGGACAAAGCTTAACTGGATTCTCTGTTCATGGAATTGCAAGTGTGATAGCTAGGTTTATTGTGCCAACCTGGTTAATTGGAACATGTGGGATTAATCAGGTCACAGTGTGATTGGAGGGCAATGGCTCTGCGAGGCCTGCCCCTGTCTCTCTTGCTCTCTAGTGATCAGACCAGTGTGCTGCTGCTTTAACTAGTTCTCTGCCTGAATCTGTGGTCCACACTACCTGTGGGACAGCCAACCCATGGATTGTGTCACTAGAGCTTGAGGTTCCTTCGAGACCTGCGTTGCCATGCTGCCGGTGCGCCCCTGGCTTGAACTTGAGGCTGGCGGATCCTGTCACCTGGCTTCAGTTCGAGATCCCATTCTGGCTGCTTCACCAAGCGCTCGAGCTACTGACTGTTGGTGGCTGCCCTGCTATTTGCTGCCTGCGGGCAGAGTCAGAGTCTGCCCGCCTTGCCCAAGGGAGGACTCCACTGTCTGCTTCCTTGACCTTGGACCCGGCAGCCATGTGAGTTAAAGGGCTTCTAGAATATTAACTATTGGACTGAGCCCTCTGTACTGCTATGTGGACTAATTAGCTATTATATTCCTTTTTGCTGTATCTATCTATCTATCTTATCATAAGTGTCCTGGTTTTGTTTCTCTAGCGAACCCTGCCTAACAAAGCAAGGCTGTAATTCAGGTACCAGGGGCTCAAGTAAGCAAGCATCTTCCTCCAAGCTCATTGAGGTGACTGGGAAAATCGATTTCGTTTGGCTCTGTTTCTGAGAACCCAGCCTTTTGCTGGCCATAAGCTGGTGCTGACTTTGAGCCTAGAGGCTGCCCCCTACGTTCCTTGTCACATGCCAATTACTTCATTCAACTCAGTAATGTGAGCCTCTTGGCTCTTAGAAAGAGTCCAATCCCACTTTTAAGGGTTACCAGCTGATTAATAAGTCTACTGATAGTAATATTCCTTTTGATTAACACAAAATCAACTGACTGGGGACCTTGATTACACGTGCAAAATCCTTTAACTTTCCTCATATTCCATGGGTCAGAATCAAGGCACGGGTCCCAAGCACATCCAAGGGAAGCCACTTACACAGGGTGTAAGTACCAAGGCACAGAGATCTTGAGGCCGCCCGGGGTTCTCCCACACTCCTCCTTCTTTATTGCTGTCAGCTAGGATGGGATCTGATGCATGGTGATGGAGTTTTTTTCAGAATAGATGACTTGTCCTCAAAGATTAACTGGCCTATGAAGATAAAAGATGGACCCAGAAATAACTCTGCTACTTGGCATGAAGCTCTATTTCCCTTCCAATCATTTCTGGGGACTTGGGGGTATAGGGTACAGACAGAAACAAGATGGCTTCTAGCTGGATTTTAAAAATAGAGAGAGTGGCCGCAAGGCAGTCCAGAGAGAGAGAGTAACAAACACCCTGAGACTGGGAAAAGCAAGCTGTGCTTGGGAACTGTCAGAACCCACCAGAGACTGCACATGCAGAGCACCCGGCAAGAAGGAGTGAGTGAAGGAGGCGGAGCGTGGGATGGGGCTGGTCGGGACCTCCCTAGGCCAGGGTGCCCTGCATGTACTCACCAAGGGGTCGCCACCCCTCAGCCCCAGCCATTCTTGCTATGTGGGAATGTTGGCACCAAGGGACTGGCATTCTTCTGCATGAAAGAAGCTAAAACTGGAATGTTTATCCAATCCCTCTCTGTTTCAAAGTGTGGGCCAGTGTTTGAGTGAATTGCACACTGCGTGTGGGATGAGAAACCTGCATTTAAGGACGGAATTCGAGTGAAGAGGCAGGAGCATCCTGAGTGAGCAGAGGAAAGCCAATAAGGCCGAGTCCATGGAGTAACGAGCCACACGTCTTGGGCTATCTCTTCCTCTCTTGTGCCCATTCTTGTTTAACTCTCTATTGTGACTTGGGCTTTAGAGGGTTACAGGGCAGCTCACCCTTCTCCCCTGAGCATTCAGGTACATCATCACCTCCCTGCTGCCCAGGGCCCTGCCTCCTCCTTTCCACACCCTTTGTACCTGGTCTTTGAGTTGATACTCCCTTTGATCTCAAAGGGATGATGGTTCTAGGGCGTGAGCTCCTGGGTAGTGCTACTGTTCCATTGGATTCATTCGCAGCAGGATTAGGGGTGAGCACAAAACTACGTGGCAGTTATACCCCGGGCTGACTTGGCTTGGACTTTTAGACATACTGCAAAGGCAGTCAGAGTCATGCCATTTACACGCAGAGGAGAGCAAGGGGTGGGTGGTACCCCCAAGATGCTCTCTCTCATGCCCTGACCTCCTTTTCCCTGCTACAATGCTACCTGAGACCAGGAAGACCCTCCCTGCCCACTGCACAGAATCCATCTGGACTCACAGGGACCTGACAGGACAGAATACAACTGAACAGTTGACAGCAGACACGGCCTCATCTTTCTCCACCAGAGCAGGAGTGGAGGAATCACCAACCTTGGGTCAGCCGTCCCACACTTAACCCACTGCACCACTAGCAGTCCTGTTAGATGAGACAGTGACGGTGACTGTCCGAGTCTGCTGCCTGGTGCCCCCTGGAGGAACTGTTCACATGCACAATAGTAGGTAATACCCCCACTGTTAATTCTACAGATGTAAGCTGGTGGCTGCCTATCCGTATTTTAGAAATATCCCCCAGGGATTGTGCATTACAAGTATTATGAGGTTAAAGAACCAAAACAACAACAACAACAAAGGAAAACAGAAGAACTGACTCTTAGAACTGCAGTGCCAGCAAAATTTTGCCAAGAGAACAATCCAGTCAGTCAGAAGAAATACAGCCCACATGTCCTCAGACCTGAGGCTAGCAGGGTGTTGACTCACTGACTGTGGGCAGCTCCCTGGAGAGAGCGTCGGGCTTGATGAAGCAAGGCACCAGTGAGAATCAGGAACCCCCCAGACTGACACAGGCACGCCCATCAGCGTTCATGACGATGGTTCAGAACTGGTACGTATGAGGTCACCACGGGTAAGAACCAATGGAGCCCTGGCGGTGTAGTGGTTACGTGTTGCACTGCAATCTGCGTGGTCGGCAGTTCAAAATCACCAGGGGCTCCGTGGGATAAAGACTGGGCGTTCTACTCCCAGAAGCAGTGATGGTCTCAGAAACCCACAGGGGGCGCTGTGAGTCAGTAATGACTTGACAGCAGTGAATTCTTCCGAGAACAACAGCCACAAAAGCTTGGTGAAAGGGAAACCCTAGGTTAAGGCACGGCAAAGGTACCAATGCTATTACGATCTGCCGTTGGGTCTCAAATGCGAGTTCACTGAATCAACGCCATATTGCAAAGCAAGGACAGTATTAGAACAAGGGACAGGTGCATTTTTGTTCTCGGGGAGGGAGATGCAGCACTGTGAGGATAAGGAAGCCCACGGAGAGGCTGTAGAAACGTTGAGAGGTGGCTGTCAGGGCAGTGTGCGGCTTCACCATCCTCTCGGTGCAGGGCCACTGAGCAGCAAAAGGTGAACTGCTGTCTAGTCTGGACCAGGCACACTTGCCACTCACCACACACAGGGCTACACACATCGGCATGGGTTTCTCCCGCCTCCAAAGACGCTCCCGACTGGAAACAAGAAAGGCCCTCGCCTTTGGTTTTGGTGAACCAGAAAACACAAGGCTGACAAACCAGAGGCCATTATGGAATTAAGTCAACACAGGGCACTTATCTGTGGATCAGCTGGAGGTTTCAAATGCAAGATTTCCCCCAGCTCCGCTGCAGTGCAGGGCTGGCGCTGGCATGAACGTACCTTTCGGTCGGGCCAATTGTATTTTGCAAAGATGGCATCATAGGTGTCCACTGCCCCGTCGGTGACGAGCATGATCGCCTGGCTGCAGATGCTGCCCTGCCCCGTGTGATTGAACTGCAGGAAACAGACATCCACAATTACATACACAACAGACAGCTCTGTGCAGCCACAGGGCTCCGGGGCATGAGGCCTTCAGCTCCAGGAGTCTCTTAGTGGATGCCACAAAGCCCCTCTCTGTACCACATACCAGAACCTACCCGGGAGGTACCCTTGCCCTGTGCATGGGTCATCCTATTGTCCTGGCACACGCCTGCTCAAAGCGGGCCACACAATGATTTCTCCAAATCACACCCGGGATGGGGAGTCAGATCCTTGGGCCTCAACCTGTCCTATGTGGATGGTGCTTCGGAACAAAAGGGGCTGGGACAGTAACTTTTCACGGGTACATCCTCAGCGCAGCAGGATAGCTGAGGAGCAATGTCTTTCAAAGTCTCAATAACGCTGGACTGAGTGGTCTGATGTGCATCTACTACACCTTCCGATGAAACGAAGGTGAATTGAGATCCGGCGATATGCCAACTCGGATAAGGAGCCTACCCCGCCCCCCTTTGCATGTGTTTGAAGGGTGTTATTAAGCAGCCCGTGTGGTGTGCTCAGTGGCATGCACAACTCTGAACTGGCGGACTTTCAACCCGATAAGATGGTTGGCACGCTCCCAGCTCTGTTGCTTTTAGGTAGAATGACCCAAGTACGCGTGCCTCAGCTGCATGCCTTCCTTACTTAGTGAAAGCTGGTAACTAATGAATGGATGAACTCATTAGCCCCAATCATGAGTGGGACTTAAAACTCCCTTTGTCCTTGAAAAACGCTGCCATCACGGCAGTGTTGAGGTGTGGGAAATACACGCCCTGCCTCTACCGTCTGTGGATAGACAGAGCTCCCCCTGCTACATGTGTCCACACTTACAGACGCATTTATTGAAACAGAGAGAAACTCCTTCCTGCAAAAAATAGAACAAGAAAAAAAACAACACACCCGCTGCCATGGAGTTGATTTGCACTCATGGTGGCCCCAGAGGGCAGAGCCGAACGGCTCTGCAGTGTTTCCAGGACCATAAATCTGTACGGAAGCAGCCAGCCTCCCCTTTCTCCCGCACAGCAGCTGGTGGGTTTGAACTGCCTATCTCAGGGTGAGCAGCCTGATGCATGGAGCGGGCCGCCCATTTGAGGAGCGGGCGGGAAACGTAACTGCTGGCGGGTGTTTACCAGTCCTCGTGCGAAGTAGGGAAAGAAAGCAGGGAAAACCAAAACTCACGGTCACGAGCCCATCCCAATGCACAGCGACCTCACAGGACAGCCAGAACTGCCCCTAGGGGGTGCGGAGACTGGAGCTCTTCATGGAAGCAGAGAGCCCGTCTTTCTCCCAAGGAGCGGCTGGTGGTTCCTGGCTGTCCACCTTGTGGTCACAGCACAAGATGTAACCACTACGCCACCAGCCTCCACACAGAGATGGGCAAGGGGTGGTGGCGGCGATGGTGAATGCGGGGAACTGCCCCGCTGAGGCCCACTGGGGGGACGCCACACTACAGCTGAGCCCTCCGTGGGGCTTTCCAGACTGTGAAATGGCTCCGTGGCAGTGAGTTCGGTGGGGGTTGGATCTTTATGGGGACGGGTCACCGGGTCGTTCTCCCACACAGGCGATCACTCACCTTGCCATCAGCAGCCAAGTGCTTGGCCACTGACAGGCCAGAAAGAGCTCCCTAAATGAGGGCATTTGAACAGTCCCTGAACGAGGTGAGCAGCTGAGGAAAAGCAAGCCAGAGGGGCCGACCACAAAGTACTGAACACCATGTTCTCGGCATGTTCACTCTGCTAGCTTCGACAACAGGGAGACTGGAGGGTGCCTTTGGCTCGGGTGGCTGGCCATGAAGAATTCAGGTTGACGTTTATGCACAGTGTCTGTGGACTTAGAATTCCAGTCTAGAGGTTGAAGGGAACAGTCAATTGAGGGAGGAGCAAGACTAACAGGTTGGGTGGACAGAAGTGACTGGTGGTAAAAGTGATCATGTGGCCACAGTGGAGAAAGGGGAAGTTAGCTCAAAGAACCATGAGCACCCTATGATAGTGGGAAGTAGCCCATCCCATCCCAGCCCCACAGCTGTGAGTTTGTGGTCAGTTCTCGTTCCCGCACTGCCATTTCTTCATTAAGAATATGGGAGTCACTGGGTGACTGATACAGTGCCGGTCACTATATGCTCCTCTCTGCGGGGCTACTCCTGAGAACGGAGAGCGCACCAGCCTCCGAGGTGGGTCCTGTCCTTGTCCTCACTTATCACAGGGGAAAATGAGGCACACAGAGATGAGAGAGTTGGCTGAAGGATCTCGAGAGCAGGCAGTCCAGCTCTGGAATCCACCCTGCGGCCCAGCATAGACTACTCCACTCCATCATGCTCCGAAGGTTCTTGAACACGCAAAGAAACACCGAACCAAACCCACCGCCCTCAAGTCAGTCCCACCTCACCGCAGTCCTGCAGGGGAGAGCCCACCTGCCTCCTGAGCTGTCCTGAGCTGGACCCCGACGGCTGCAGACTTGTCCTTCTCCCAAGGAGCAGCTGGTAGGTTCACCCTGCCGACCTGCCATCAGCGGAGCACTCTATCCCCTGCCCACCAGCGCTGACTCTGTGAACATCCATTTATCTCTGCATCGCTTCACTCCTTCCACCCCATCCAGGGTCCCAGGGTCACGTGGTCATCCCTGAGCATGACCCCCATGACAAGTGCCCGGGGTGCCTGTCACCTGATGATGGCACCTCACAACAACAAAGCCAGTGCCTTGCACAACCTTCCACAGGGCTCCACTCTGCTGCTGTCTGCAGCTGCACAGCGCTCCAGCTCAGGAAAATGCGTGCCCTGGGGGATATGTGCAGCAAAGAACTAACTAGGGCCTATTCCAGGAGTTTCCGGAAGGCCCATCAACTCTCCAATAGAAGACGTCAAAAGACAATTGACACCCTCAGACTCGGGCCCTGATCTCAAAGTGTTGAGCTTGTCGTATGGAGCAATCTTCGACTGCAGTGACGCACGCCTCGCATAGCCACCCACTGTGAGCATGGCCTCGGAATGCGCAATGTTTGGTTGTTAGAAACAAGGCGGCTTGCAGTGTACTCACTCCACGGCACCCAACAACAGCAAGGACAACTACAATATGAAGGTCCTTTCCAGATCCCAAGTGAACCCCCCCCCCCCCACTGAGCCCAACACAAACCCGATGCCTTGGAGTCAGTTCTGACCCTGACCACTCCCATGTTGGGTTTGTGAGGCTGCAGAACTTTCTCCTTTGGAGCAGCTTGTAGGTTTGAACCTCTAGACTTGCAGTCAGAACCCAGGGCTTCTCCAACATTGCACCAGAGCTCTTTATCGTAAACCAGCCTCAGAATCTCAATCAGGATCCCACAGGTAGCCTTTCTGTTCTAGGACAGCCGGAGGGCGAACGTGGCGAACAGAGCACCCAAGGACCGCACGAAGGGCGAGAACGGCCTGCTCCTGTCGGCGGCCTGAGGAGCAGCTCCACCAAGCCCCCTGCAGCCCGGAAGCAAGGCCCCAACTAAACCTGCGCCTGAGGAGCCGC